TTTCTTTCGATTGATTTAAATAAACTCAACTTGAAGTTGACTGAATCAATAGAAAAATCTTAAAATCAGCATATTGTTTTTGTAAGTGATAAAGAACGAAAAAAAATTTCAACATCATGGTATGTATGTTTGACTTCACAAATGTTTTTACAAACAAAAAAGTATATTATTATCGAAATAAAATGAACAGCTTTATTTATCGCTTCAGTTGTGTGTCGACAAAAATTTCAAACTATGCGAGTTGTTTCTGGTTCTTCAAATCATACATATTATAAAAATCATTTATTTCCTTTCATTCTTTTTTGATAAACTTACATTCAGTACTTGCCTCAATACGAATATTATTCATAAGATTTGTTCTGTCAAAAATTTTATCGAAGAAGTTAAACTGATTCGCATATTAGATAATGTGTATATAGATGATCAACAGTATACACTATCGATGAGTCTCTCAGCAATCTTAAGAAAAAAAACAAACATTATGTTCGAAAGTAAAGTTCTATGATATGAAGTAAGAAAATTCTATTTTAAAAGTATGATGTTGTTCAATTGACAAAGTCATCAAACATCTTTATCAATGAATTGTTTTAAAAAAATGAAAAAAGGAATCCATAGTTATTAATTCTGTTTTGTTTTTGAGATAAAACAAGGAAATATAGCTGGTACATGGTGTTGATAATTAACATAAGCTTGACCAAATATTTGTATTAATTTGCGTTCTTCAAAAGGAATACCGATTAATGCATATATACATGTATATATAATAAAAGCCAAACGATCAAGTGACATAACAGGTGTGATTGTCATACTCAATAAAGTAATCAAATACAAAGGATGACGGCAATAACGAAATAGACCAGTTGTCACTAAAGTTTGATTGCCTGTTGTTCGTACCTCTGACTTGACTGAAGATGAATACAAACATCCAATACTTTCGGGCTCATTTAAGAGTTGTTTCAGACCACAAAATTCAAATGGATTAAACTGTATAATCACAAGCCATGCTGCGAAAAAATATTGTATTAAAATAATTATAGAAGAGAAATGTAATTACCTGGTGCGTAGACAATATTGTATATTATGAATAAAACAAGGTTTTGCTGATAATCGTTCATTGTTGATGGTAACCAATTCCAAATTTGTATATGTGTATGTTGCCAAAAACCCATAATAATAAATGCAGTGACAGTTACTAGCAAACAATAAACAGTTCGAAGTGTTTGCTTAGGAAACAAGAATTGACTAAGAAAAACTTGAACAAATTCTTGTGCAAATAATGTATGAACAAAACCAAAAATTGCGTAAAGAAAGGCATTAAATATTAGTTTAGCAATAACTGATGATGATATTTTATTGATGTGCACATATGGGACATTAAAAAGAAAACTTAGAATAGGTAGATAAGTCGAAATAAAATTTGTAAGTATCAATGGCATATGCATATTACATGCAACCCAATAGAAGAGAACGCATGAGAGAGTCGCTCCAAAAAATACATTTAGTATAAGCCAGATAACGCGAATAGCGAAATTCATCTAAAAAACAATAAAATAAAATATATATTTATTTTCTTCTTCATTACTATTTTTTTTCTGAACATCTTTGAAGAAGATGATCATCATTAACGATCGTCACTTCATGTTCGAAATTTCTTCAAAAAAAGGAGTTAAGACTACAATTCCAAGCTAAACTTATTATCTAGTTTTGTGTTGTATTCAAACAAGTAACAAATCAATCAATTATATCTACAATAAGTCTTCGATGGATCTTTTGAACTAAAAATTATTCTTCAGGAGTGAACATGAATGTCTTCACTTCTTAATTATTAAGACTAAAAAAGACTTGTCAGTTCATTCTATTATGATTATACCGATCGTTGGAAACAACTGAAAAATGCTACTTATGACATACCAGTAGTAGTGACAGTGGTACTTTTATTCCTTATAAAAATTCTAAAGAAACTTTCTCTATATATTGACTCATAGTAAAAACGACGTTCTATTCTAGGTATACATATAAGCATCATTGAATGATTGTGGAATTTCCATGGATAGTAGATTGATTTTTTTTGTATAGACTTAATATTTTCGATGCATTTCTTTTATCTCAGGGATACAGAGATATTGAATGATTGATGAATATTTATTTACATGAGCAGGCAGTTAATGTTAGCGGTTTATAAAAAAGAAAGGTACATTACATTGCATGTGTCTCATAGTTATAATATTAGACGATCTCGAAAGTTACGCACAAAATCGAAAATTGATATTTATACTCTGAAAGATACTAAAAATACAAAGACATAGAAAATTGAAATGAAGTTGGTTCAAAATAAATTTATTTAATATACTGTTCAGAAGGCAAAGCATAATATCGATGATAAGTTCAACCGTAAAATACAAAAATAAGGTTTTCATTACTTTCATGTGACTCTTTCGTATATATTAATCCTTTAAGACTGAGCGTTTCTTCCGGAGAATATCTTAATGATTGATTTGAAACCTTGTGGAACAATCTTGCATTATAAAACCAATAGGTTTCCAGACAAATTCTGTCTATCAGACTGTTCTTATTCGAAGAACTATTTGATTTTGAACATAAGATATCGTCACAATCTTAATATCAACTATTTTAATTTTTTCTGAGAAGGACAGCTGGTCGTATTAGGTTAAGACACTACGATATAAATACACGAGTCATTATATTATCCGTTGAATCATAAGCTGTAAGTATTAGATAAAATCTTTTTGATGATTTACTCTCATTAATGAGATCATTTTAAGAACAACAAGTGTTACATAAATAAAAATGATTCTTCATAATCAAAACAAAGACAATTAAAAATTTTTTTCGCATCCTTTTTTGTATATCTAATAGTTATAATTTTGTTGTTTCTGCTACCTCTTTATATTTTTCGGAGTATAAATATGAATTTTTTATGTCGTGTGCATCTTTCGTAGATTCAAGATTAGAGCATCATGAATGGTATATAATGTATAGCCGTTCTTGGTAAATTTTGAATTGGATCTTTTAATAACACATCAATTAACTTTTTATTTCTGTTGAGTTGCAGGTTAAATTATTATTATCAAAATGAAAACGAAACAGACGACAAACCTTAACAAATAAAAAAAGCAATGAGAATCGACTTAAACTAAAGACAACAGATAAAAAGCCTTAAAATGACTTCAAAAAAGAACACTGAATATCTATTCCTAGTTAACAGCAACTGAACTAGAGCAGTTTGAAAAACTGAAATGTATACACTATAAGAATTTTTTTTCTATGAAAAACCGAAAAGAAAGCAGACTCGAGCTTTTTTTTACTCATTGTGTTTGACGCAACTTTATTTTGTGAACTCTGGACTAAATCATTTTAGTCCATTTTTTTTTATTAAGCCTCATTCCTATCATAATCTTTTTTCAAACAGAATTTTTTAAAATCAATTCTATCATTTCAAACTCAAATAAGCTCTTATGTCAACTGCGACCATTATTATGTTTAATTCTAATAGAAGCCTAGTTGAATCTAGGAATTTGCAGAGTAGATGAATGCTCTCAATTGAAATCTAGTCAATCTTAGCAAGCTTCGAGCAAAAACAAGTAAAGATCTTTAAGCTTATCCCTTTTGAGTAGAAGTTTTTTATCGATGTTTATTTGTCTTCAAATTTAGCATAGTCAATAGATAATATGTAAAGTGCAAACATATTAAGCTGCGAAATTTTGTTGAACTATGTTTCAACAAAAGAAATTTTCATTTTTTTTGTTTATGTATTTTCTAAGATAGAATAATAGATGTATTCTCTCGGAATTTTAAAGTTCAAATATTTAAAATATTAATTTGTTTGTTCGTAGAAATACTTCCGAAACTCATTTTCGATATCGGCGTAGGAATCATGGGTGCATGCATTAAAATGTGAATTAGTGAAAATGACTACTCCGTCTAGGTAAAAAAAAACAAGTACGTGCTATGTTTTGTTAATGCAAATGAGAATTTAAATTTATTTTTTAAATAAAAGAAAATTATTTGGTAGTTTTACGCCTAATTAAAAACGGTCTCTGCCTAAGTTTAATTTTAGCTGGGGTATATATATCAAGACACATAGTGACTGTTTTGTTTGTATCTATAGTCTATTAGCGTGTTCTTAAGAAAAATAAAGTTAGGTTAAACCGTAACACTGTTCATCTCTGTTTTAGATGTATAAGAAAAATTTTCGTTTCTTCATTAAAGTGCGCAGTTCATTTAATATTCAAGCAAGAGTTATTCATGATAACTTATGCTCTGTTTGTGACGACGAAGCTGCTTCGCTTATGACAGTTGAAAGATATTCTAAATGGTTTCGTGAAAGTCGACAAAAAGTTGAAGGCGAAGCACGACTTACTTGTTTCTGTATCTCGATTTTGTTCCGCCGCCGCTACCTTTTTGTATACTCTAATGTATATATATTGACAGCTAGGCATTAGAGGAGACGAACAAAGAGAGAATCAAAAAGAGAATGTATTTCGAAGACAATATAAACTAATGTAGCCGTCACATATGATAGCCCAATAGATCTTATTGAAATCTCACTATTATGATATTAGTTGAAGATAGATATAATAGCGTAGAAAAATAGAGCATCGTTTTTACTATCAGTCAATATAGAGAGGAAATTTCTTTAAGCTTTTTTTAGGAATTAAAGTATCACTACCAATGCTTTCCGTGTACCCTAAGTATATTATTGCATCAAGTTTTGTAATATTTCGACATAATTCATTATCTCGTTTTGTAGGTCGTTCTTTCTCCGCTAATCAATGACTATTGTTTCTTCAACTATTTTATCGGATTATGGAAGGCAGCAATGTAATAGTGCCAGTTTCTATCGTTTACAGCACCGTTTTCTTGAATCACGAAGCTTATTAACTCAAACAAGAATTTTGACTGATTTGTTTAAAAAAAAAGAATAAAATCTACAAACAATATAGACTTGTGCATTAAATGATCTCTATTTAGACAAACAATTTCTTAACACGATAAGTAAATAAATAAAAAACTATGACTAATGAGATTTAGTTAATGATGAATGTTCTAATGTTCGTTCAACATGTTTATAAAGGGTATTAATTCGAGTAATGATTTGAACAAGAATATCATTAGTTATTGTTGAACTAAATACCTGAGAATAGAAAAGAAAGAAGGTTTTATTTTATTTTATTTTTTTGTATTAATTGTTTTTCTTTTCTTTTACTTTCATCCATTGAATATGTTCATCTTCATTTGTTACACCTGGTATATCCAAAGCATAAGTCTTGATTACAAGATAAATAATAGCAATTGCAATATGCTGTGGTGAAAAATCTTTAATTAATGTATAATCATAATATGTATCTTGTAAAATAGACATAGCAATGTCAATTAAATTAATATTATTTTTAATTGGTGTTGATGGTGTTATTGTTATCCATTTACTTAATGTATCAAAGTAATGAAGAAGATATTTATTTGGATGATTGAATTGAAAATGAAAACCAAGTATACGAATTAGAAATAATTCACAATCTACTAATGTATTACGTAAACGATAATATTCATTTGATATACGTAAATGTGGTTGATTTGGATGAAGTGTTCTAAGAAAATTTAAAAAAAAATGAATAAAAGTTTTAGTAAGGGTATCATAAGAGTTCAAGTGCTGCACAGACGCGACAATAGCTATGACGAAACTATGTTTTAAAATGTCGACAAGTTGTCGGCTTTTTTTCCTAATATGCATATAAGATTCTTAACATGTTGTAAACACATATTTATCTGTCTCTTTGATTCAGTTATCGATTCTAGTTCTATGTTAATTAGAATAGCAGTAGAGCCCGTCAAGTTGGTTCCAATCGGATCGGAGTCAGGAATTTTCTGTCAACAGTTTTCAAAAATTTTGGATCCGATGGACTCTAAATAGTACCTATAACAAGAAGTTTTAGATCTCTTCTCTACACATATGACTTTTCACGGAGGGCTTTAAAGACGATGACATATCGAAAGAGAATTAATATGACATATTAGTAGTGACCAATGGCAATAATTATCAAGTCTTCAAGATTAGATGCATTACATATGAAAAGAGATGTTCTCTAATCATAAAAGATATTGAAATTTTTTGCTTTAATATGAAAATATATTTCATTTATTGTTGTGTGAAACATACCGATATGTAATATTGATTAAATCTCGAATTTTGACATGTTCTTCTTCATATTTACTTGCTAATGATAAAGCTGTTGCTGCTAAAGTCTATAGAATAAACTTAAAAATAATACTATAAAACATTTCAAACTTACATATTGATCAAAATCTGATTTTTCAAGATAACGAGAACATTTATGATAAATAACAGCAGCTGATGCTGTTGTTACAATACTTAATCGAAGTTTAGCCGCTAAATAAAATTAAGAAAAATAACATG